TAAGGTTCAAGGGTTTAAGGGTTCAATGGTTTGAGGCTTCCAGGGTTCGCGTGTGGTGGAAGAGCGTCGGCTGTATGAGTTGAAATACATTTTGTAAGTGCTGTGGTACATGGGCGGGTATGGTTTTCTTATGCCTTAAGACAGCTGCTCTTGGAATGANNATGAATGCTTGAACTTGAGCTGCTGTAACCCTGAACCCTATAGCAACCCCAAACCTAAAAACTCTCCTTTCAGGCCTGGCATGTTTCATCGGTCTGCTCGGCGCAGTCTCCGGCAGACATAGCCAGGGTTGCAGAGAAGATAAGGAGCAATGATCCATGGCGCCGCAGCATAGCTTGGGTTTAGGGTTTAGGGNNTTAGGGCTTTAGATTTTAGAGTTTAGGGCTTTGCGGTTTGGGGTTTAGCGTTTTTTGTTTTAGAGTTTTTGGGTTTAGGGCTTCAGGTTTTAGAGTTTTGGGCTGTGGGTTCAAGGTTTAGGGTTCTTTTGGGGGGCGCCTTGCAATGAGGAACCCACCGTGTGTTTGTATCTCTTTCTTGCAACGCATAAACACAAGTTTAATCAGTAATGATGATCCTGCCCATTCAGCACTCCAATGTATCGGGAGCTGACTGCTGTTGTAGGCAAGGTCTGTGGAGGGGGGACGTCCACGCAGCATATTGCATGTGGAGAACCTCAGGAGCCATCAGATCAAGTATTTTTGAACTCGAGTTTGAGAATTCAACTGCTTGAATATGGGTGGTTTTCAAAATTGTGATCCCTTTTGGGGTATCCTAAATATTAGGTGCTGTATTATAATAGGGTTCAAAAAAGGGGCCACAATTTTGACAACCACCCATATGTGTCTTGCGGCAATCCCTGCCAAATTGTCTTTGCGCTTTTCGCAACACAGTTGGCAACGGGCACACAGAATCGACTGCTTTAGCAGTTGGATGCTTGCCTAAGCAGTGTTTTTACACACGGGAAAGCATGGACATGCAGCTGAGCCCGATTAAGGATTGCTCAACAAGTGACAGGCAGAGCAGAAATGCAGCGTTTGCTTCGGCAGCTCTCCCTGAACATCCCCAAGTGTCATGCGCTTCAAAAGTTCCACTGACCAAAACCCCAAATCTAACGAATGATTTGCTACTTGGACTCAGGGCGTTTAGTGATTATGGTTTCTCAGGGGGATTGATGGTAGAGGAGAAGGCGCGCGGGTCGTAAACCTGAAGTTAGACACCAGCATGGAGGGTTGGGATTTCAGGTTATAGACTTCGAACAAGCCAAACCCTAAACCCTAAGACCTGTATAAGTCCTGTGTCCTGTGAGCAGGTTCTTATAAGAATCCCTGCTGAAAAACAGAAAACCACTTCTTGCCTCCTAACTAATTAGTAGTCAACCCTAACGGTCCAAGGACCCAAATAATGGGGTTTCAGGGCCCAAAGACCATTAATATTTTAATATTTGGGCCCTAGAACCCTATTATCTGGGTCCTTGGACCCTTAGGGCAAGTTTGCATCACTAAACCTTACAACCTGAACCTGGATCCTAAATCTTTGGTGGAAAAGGTGCTCTTCTGCAGCCCTCAAGCAGGGACGCTCTCCCAAATCCTGGGCCCTTTTGCCCTTTCATTCTTAGAGGCTATGCTTCGGTGGACACTCCAATGCAAACTGCGCTGTTGGAAGCTCTTCAACCCTAAGCTCCAAGCTTCTAAACTTCTTTTGTAAGGTTGCGAGTTGCGATTGCGGAAATTCGTGAGATTACTACACGGAGTCTTGTGAGGGTTTGGGGGATTGCATGTTTCAAAGTTTGATGCGGATTAGGATTCAAGGTTTAGGGTCTGGAAGCAAATCTCAGGCTTCTGTTCGAAAACGCCTGTTCGGGAATAAGTCTCCGTGGAGGGTTTAGGATCTTAGGGCGTTTACGGTTTGGAATTTGGGGCCACCAAATTCCCCAAACAAACATCAGAATGTGTGGTCGGAAACATGATGTTCTGCCCATACCTATGCTCTCCATGCGGAACTGGAATTGCCCTAAGGGTCCAAGGACCCAAATAATAGGGCTGTAGGGCCCAACTGCCATAATATTAATGGAATTACCTATTATTTGGGTCCTTGGACCCTTGGCTCCTAAACCCTAAACCCCGATCCCTAAACCCTAAAACCCTATTTTTGGGGTCTTTGGACCCTTAGGGTTGTGCTTCTTACCTCAAAGACCTACGTAACACAAACCCACTCGCACAGCTTCTTTAAGCGGCATCCTTCCACCCAGGTGGGCTAAAAATGGGGACGGCCAAAAGCAACCCTAAGCCGCAAGTAGTAGTTTCCAAGGGTTTAAGGTTTAGGGTTTAGGGTTTTGCTTTCCATTATCCCTGTAAAACCCCTAAATAATCCCTATATTCCCTATAGTTTCCATCTTATGTTCCATTATCCCTGTATACCACCTAGATACGCCTGTACAAGGCTTAAAGACTCCAGAAACACTGCCTGCAAAGGTGGGGACGGCCTCCTAACTTCAGCCCGAAGGGTAGGGTTTAGCGTTTAGGGTTTAGGGTGGTTTAGGTTTAGGGTGGTTTAGGGTTTAGGGTGGCGGATTTACTATAGATAGAAGAGAGCCCGCAAAACTGGTCTTTAGAAATAACTCTGCCGAATCATTATCTTATAGACTCTAAACTCCAACTCCGTTATCCCACCCAAGCACTCCTCTAAAGCCCTAAACACTGAACACTGAACCCCTTGATCTGCCTTCTTGAATATGGAGGCTCTCAAGAGTCTCCGCTTGTGAGCTCTTCGTGCTGCGGGTATGTCTGGAGGATCGGCCTCAATATAGCATTGCGATACATATGAGCCATATTCCTGAAAGGGTGTTATATAGGGTTAGGCTTTTGGGTTTGGGGGGTGCAAAATAAAGGGGATACTAGGAGTTGAGACTATGGCTCATATGGGGCTCGGGATTACGGTTTGTAGGGTCTGGGAGGCTTCAGGATCAGGGGCTTAGGGGTTAGGTGACGCAAGGGGTACTCCCTGGTATGGAGCTCAGGATCTAGTAGGCAGAATCAATCCCTAAACCCTATAGCCCAAGGATCCCGCGGATGCATAGGCATAGGGACTGCCACAGGATCGGGGAGATAGAACGCACAAGACTCAATAAATGTGTGGCTCCAAAAAAGCATGAACCCTAGACCCTCAACCCTTAAACCCTAGACCCTCAACCCTAGTTGAAGAATCCCACGGATGAATCCTATTTCACTCATTACCCCCCGCGCTGGTCTAGGGATTCTTCCCATTACTTTGGGTTTGGGGCGTGCAGATTTTTGAGCTTATTCTCTTGATATGATGGAATTAAGGAAATCTGGGAACCCTCAGTTATTAGGGTGAGTTTATATGAATATGGGCTTGAGGGATTAGGGTTTGGAGCTTCATGGTTTTAGGCTAAACCCTACACCCTAAACCCTAAACATGGGGTTTAGGGTTGGGGGCCAGGGATCCCAACAGGTTCCGGTCAAGATCACCTTACACCCGTCTCCAAGCCAAGGGGCATTCAATCAAAAGAGTCTTGGGGGGGTTTGCTAAATTCAGGATACCTTTTTGGGGGTCCCTATAATAAGGTTTATAGTATATTGGGGTCTATATTGGGGTCCCCTGATTTTGGGAAACTACCTCTTCTGGCAAGGTCTCGCTTAAGATTGAGATTTAGGGTCCGGGGGTTCAGGAATGCGGCTTTACGATTGTTACTTAAAGTTCGTGGGAGTTCGGGGTGAAGGATCTTGGGATTGAAGATCACAGTCTTTGTCAGCATCCGCGTGTCTTCTGAGATTTAAGCGCTTATGTTCCAGGGTGCTTCGCAGGTGCATGCGTGTGCTGCTACTTCTGTCCTATAGTCTGACTGTGAGGCTTCAAGCACCCCAAATACAAACTGGATATACTTCCACCGCAGGACATGCACACTGGAAACCAAATCAAACGCATGTCCCATGAAGGTACTTGTCAGGATCGCGTGGTATAACACGTCTTTCATTTTTACGGCTGGCTGCACAGCTTGGATAAGATAACACTTTTCATCAAAATGCATCTACAATTTCTTCCACAGAAGGCGTCACCCTGATATCTGAGCCTAAACCCTAAAACATGAACCCTCCCTGATATCTGAGCAGATCTTTTTTCCAATGCACGGATTGGCAACATGTTGGAAGACCTAACTCGGGACATCTCCCGGCTCCTTCCGTAAAGACAAGGCGTGTGAACCTAGAGTAGATGGGGGTTTCCCAAAATTATAGGTACCCTTTCTGGGGGTCCCCTTAATAAGGGTAATAGTATTTTGGGGTCTATATTGTGGAATTTTGGGAAACTACCCTAAACCCTAAACCCAGATGTTTCTAGGGGATGAGTCCTTGCCTTCCCAGCAAGAGACGCACAGTCTCCAAATGCCCTCCTGCAGCAGCTTCTGACAGAGCAGTCAAACCATCTGGTCCGTAAACTGTGTGTGGGTCAGCGTGTGCCTCTAATAGCAAACGCACAATGCCCACGTGCCCCCATGTCGCTGCCAACAAGAGAGGCGTAAAAGAATCGAGGTGGGACATCTGTTGAGGTGTTGATATTTCAAGCACGGTTGGCGCAGACTCCTGAAGCAGCCTTTGAATTTCCAGGTAGCCTTTCGAAGATGCCACAACGAGTGCTGGAGCGACGTGCGCGCGTGCTGCTGGTGGCAAAACGTCACCACGCAAGCTTCCCTCCAGCAACAAGCGCGCAACTTCCAGATGACCACCTTGGCATGCTGCAACCAAAGGCCTGCTGTCATGTTGGACGTCTCTGGGGGCCTGTCCGACGAAGTTTGGATCTGCACGCGCCTCCAACAAGAGCTGCACAATCTCCATGCTTTTCTCATCCGGGCCTTGTGGACGGTATGATTGAATTGCTGCAAGAAGCGGCGTCACTCTGATTCCTGCCAAGATTCCCTTGGATTCAGTAGAGGCGCCAGCTTCCAGCAAAATACGTACGACTTGAACATGTCTTTGGGCTGCTGCTTGAGCCAGCGCGGGAACCTCATCGCTCTCGCTGGCAGCGCAGCCCTCTGTGTCCGCACATGCCTCCAACAGAATCCGCACAGCTTTTGCGTTGCCACCATCAGCTGCAGCACCAAGAGCTGTGTGGCGGCGTAGAGGAGGCCGTCCCAAAGGATCAGGGAGAGTTCTGTTTGGATCTTGGGGGCGCTGCAAAAGCTCCTCAAGCCATGCAACGCTGCCAAGAAAAGCGGCCTCCATGAGGTCCCCTACCTGATCCTCTGAAGTATCGGCAAAGTTTAATGAAACCATTTGCAAGTCGGTCGGCAACTCCAAGACTGAACAATCGTCCTTGAAGAGGCGATCTCCGTGCATAAGGAGCATTCTAAATCGAGACCCTTCACCCTTGCTTTGGAGATGTTGTTTCAAGCTGCGTACATCCCTGACGTCATCTGCAGCCACGACTATCTCGCTTCCTGACATTGTCCGAATATGTAAGATCTTGGCGGAATTCGGCTCAAGCGACATGGCACCTCAGATCGGAACAGGGCTCCACAAAAATGCGCACACACCCAGCGTAACCAGCCTTCAAAACAGCACGAACGCAAACTGAATCACACCGGGCCACCGATTGAATAGTCAGAAGGGGCGCTGTACAGCCCTCAACTCGTAGATCAGGTCTACGTCCAGGACTTGCGTACGAGTTTTTCAGGAAGCCAGGGGCTCTTGAGCAGCTGCGGTGGAACAGAGCGTTTGCATAATCATCGGGAATGTGGGACTGCAGTATTTATATCAAAACATGGCTCAAGGGGCCCATGTAGCCGTATAGCACTTACTGATGCCCTAAAGTTATGTGGTAACCCCTTTGGGCCCTAAGTATATATATATATATGACTACATGGACCCTTCGGGTGGTGCAGAGGTTGCCAGATGCAGTGGTGAAGCATGCAGAACTGAACCTCAGGCCAAAAAAACATACAGGCCACCAAAACTCTAAACCCTAAACCATGGGCGTATACACTTCATCCTGATGTTTGGCCTTGCATATATACCGCCTTCATACCCATGGGTTCCCTTACTATCCCGGTACCCTACCCGCTAGGTTCCTCTTACTTAACCTCAAAATTTAAGGTTTAGGGTTTAGCATCAACCATGCTCAAGTTAAAGGGAGAGACCATGTTCCTGACATGGTGCTTTTAGGGTTCCTTGTGAGGGTAGTGCATACTAATTCCAAAGCCTGAGATACGGCCATTGTGGATAGATCACAACACGGGAGGCCGCAGATTGAGGTCGAAAACGAAAGCCCGAGCCCTAAATCCCTAAACCATAAACTCTAAACACTAAACCGACTAAACCCTAAACTGCTGCAATCAAAGTCCGAAAGCTCAGAGTTAGAGGCTTCCATAGCCCCTTTGAGGTTTTGGGGTTTAGGGGGTTAAGGGGCCCTTTGAGGTTTTGGGGTTAGGGCTTGGGGTTAAGACTCTGGTCTAGGGCATAAATACTTGTCAATACTGGCGAAGCAAATTAAATGGAACATGCAGTTGCAACTGGGATTACATGTGGTGGGATGCAACGATGCAAAGGGACTATGTAATGAAGAAGCCGAAATACATACCAATTCCAGTTTTAGTTCTATGCGGGTTGCCCTATACCATGATTATACAAGAATTGAAGGGCCATAACATCAGTATGTATGTCGGCCGCATGATGACCTCCAAATTTATCACAACCTGACCCAACCTCTGCACCCCAAACCTAGGGTTTAGGGTTTAAGGTTTAGGGCTTTAGGGTTTAGAGTCTAGGGTTTAGGATTTTAGGTTTACCGTGTGGCCTCCCAATGCACTCAGGAGCGGACTGGTCCTGGTGACAGACGCGCGGTTGTCCATCGGCGACATTGACAGCTCCTCCTTGCGATTTGAGAGTAATGTTCAGGGTTTAAGGTCATCCCTTCATACCGGGGGTTTGGCAAGGAATACGAGAATATCTTATGAGGCGGTTTTATTGGGACTATATTCCTTGGTTCCCTACTAACCACCAGCAAGCAACAATAAAGCCCCCCCATCCCCAATAGTAAATCTTCCCCATTAACGCATAAACGGCCTGCACATTGGGGCCCGCATGCAAGATGAGGAAGGCAGGGACTGCAAATTTGTCTAGGCCCTAAACCCTCAACCCTAAACCCTAACTCCTAAACCCTAAACCCATCAACCGTTCCCGAGGATGACTCTCAAGCAAGGGTTTATGGCTTAGGGTGTCCTAGCTAGACCCAGGGCTCCCAGGCCAGGTACTTAAATAGTAGGCTACTGGACCATGTGTCTATAGGGTATATAGAACCCAGTTCCCATCATTCAGGTGACTGGGAGCCCTAGGGTAATGTAAGAGCCTAAATGATCAGAATAAGGTTTCGTGGTCTAGTGCAGTATATCAAAAAAAAAAGCGTAGCAGGTAAAAGACACTAGTACCTGTTCAAGGCACCCTTAGGACGTGGTTAAAGGCTTGGAAGTTGAGATTTTCTGCAGTTTGCCAAGAATGCGGTTAAGGGTTTAGGGTTTGGGATTTAGGTTTAGGGAAACAGGTTCGTCTAATGGCAAAGAGGGTCCTAGACCCTAAACCCCGAACCTTGCGAACCACCTCGCGAACCATGAATAGGATCTCTTGCCTGTCGATTGGGTTTCTGTAGCCCTCAGTGAAAGATATCTTAGAGGGCACTTGGAGGTTCAGGGAAATTTCTACCCGTTATAACTTATAACTTATAACTAAAATTAACTATACATATAAAACGACCAGGAGGTCCCTTAGACCCCTAAACCCTAAACCAAGAACTTGCAAGCATGCTGCACATTTTGCACATGCCATCCTGGGAGAAAACTGTCCCACAGGGCCAAAGTACCTATGTACTTGTCTAGCTTGGGGCTTACTGTATCTTGGTTTTTATAGGGTCTGGGGTTTAAATTTGGGGTAGCTATATGGTATATACTTGGGGCTCCAAGGGGTCCGGTCTAGAACTATATAGATACCTGGACCCTTTACGTGTCCGTGGATGCAATCCGGTATGCAGCTGCACAGGCAGGGGCCCACAGTTTACGTTTTTTCATATCATGCTGGTCTCCGTGCTTCATGATGATGTCCGGCGCTCTCTCCGGGACACAGAAAAGCCTAAACCCTAAACCCTGAGACCTAAACCCTAAACCGTCCCCAGTACCACATCACCTATCTGATCCTTATAATGGTATCTCTAAGCTGCCCAGATTCTGCTTACCGGGCGTAAGCTTCGAGCTCATGACCATTCAAGTAGGGTTTCACCAAGGGTTCCTTTGTAGTTCGCTTTCGGGTAGGTTGTCATGGTTTTCTAGTAAGGGATTACAATATACTACCCTCATCACGACAATCCTACTTCCTACTCCAAATCCTGTAAGGCCTAGACCCGAAACCCTCAACCTTAATTCAGCACTTTGCAGATCCCAGCCTGGTATGGCAAAGCCAGTGATAGCGCAGGCTCCTGCACATGGAAAGTCTTGAGATTCCGTTAGATATTCAGGGTTTAGGGTTTATAGTCCCCCTTAAATAAATAGAATATGGCTTTGGGTATATTAAAATAATATCCCCGTATACTCCATATTCCATCTACTTAAGGGGGACTAGAAGTTTAAGGGTTCAGTTTCAGGATTTAGTGTCCAGGGCTGGGAGCGTTTCGGACCTTTTACCTAAAATCCTTGTCTGTGTCCTGCACGGCTTAGCCCTAGACTCTAAGCCCTGACAGCGGGGCCGCAGAACAAACAAAGGCCGCGTAGGCATCACGAAGCAAGCTACGCAACCACAAATATCAAGCCGATGAAGCCCCCGTTGGCTCCACAGGGTGTGCAGATGCTTGCTAAACGTCAGCGCTTTCCAAAATAGGGCCACATTTCTCCTACTGCACCTATGGAAGCATTCTGCATCCCGACTAGCTGAACCGCTACAACAATAACCCTAAACTCTAAGCCCTGAAGCCTGAGCCAATATCTTGCCAACCGGCAACAATGGAGATGTGTGCCAAGCTGCGCCCGACCTCCCTTTATATCCTAGGAAGGGTTTAGTGCTTAAGGCTTCCCTTTGGGCGATTTAGGCGGGGTTTATCAAGGGATTTGGACTCAGGTTAGGGGTGAAGGGTACGAGGCTCACCCGAAACCCTACACCCTAAACCATAAATCCTAAACCCTTGAAGCCCTAAACCTTGCCATGACAGAGACTACAGAACTGACGATGCACCTGAGGGAGGCCAAGCAAGAGAATTTGTCCAAAGTGCCCTACTTGTGAGGATCTTGGTGAGTTTAGGGTTTAGGGTTAAAAGTCTAGGGTAGGCATATTGCGAACGTCTAGTATTGTCTATCATAGTAACTATTGGAGAATATATTAGTTCTAACCTGGACTAGGTTGTTTCCTACCTATGTGAGGACGAAACTGCTCAACTCTAATGTAGACCCATAATTAATAGACCCCTTCCTATGAATAGGGATTATAATAAGGATCCCTATACCAAGGCACTTAAAAGGAGGGGGTTCATTAATCAGAGGTCTACATTAGCCTCCGCACACCCACATGGAAGACCGAAGAGGGCCCTACAAAGTCTACTGTCCCATTAACGTATAAAGGCAGTTGATACAGGTGGAAAGGCACATCCATAACCCTAAACCCTAAACCCCCAAAAGGGACACCGTATGGTTTGAAAACCCTCGTATGGGGTCTGCCACTGGTGCGGTATAGTACGGGTTGGTACGTTCGGGTTTCCTATGCCACAAAGGAACACATAGAGAGGCTCCGAGGATGTAGACAGCAGCTATGGCGGCTTACAACTTATAACTCAACTTCTAATTCGGGCAACCCTTATCTAAACCCTGAACCCCTTACAAGGCTAGCAGGGGCCATCATCACCCTGCGCATAAGCCCCGTCTTACCCCACTCACTAAACCCAGAAACGAACTGGTTTAGGGTTTGGGGGTTTAGGGTTAACTGTAATAGGTAACTGATTGCCAAGTCCCTCAACTCCCGTACAGGCTCTCAGAGACGCAGACTGCATCTGACCCTGAAAATCCCCAAAATATGCCTATGGTACCCAAGGTAACCCCCGTAGCCCCATAGCCTTAGCCCTACCCTAATCACTCAACACCCACCATAGGTCCCCTAAAAACATCAACGCTACGCATCAAAACCCTGGACCCCACCACACTGAGGGTTCAAGCACCCAAATAGACAGGCTTCAGGTCCCAAACACTTGCATAGGGCTTAGGGTTTTGCATCGTACGTCAAACTCAAATGTTTGGGTACCTGGACCCTCAGAACCCTACACCCTAAATGGGATTGGCATAGTCCTGCTCAGAGCCTTCTATCCGTGAAACGTGGTGACACCCAACCTCTGGCAAAATTTGTCATGCGAGAGAGAAAGTGGAGTATGCGGTATGGGCTTTCTGTGAATAAGGCTGGGTTCGTATACTCCGACAAATTATGGGGCCTAAGCTGTATACAAACTGACCTGAACCGCCCAAAAAAAC